GAACTGTATTAAAGGGTCGCGGCATTAGAAAGGCTGCGAACCACTCATCTATAGGTTTCAAATTTTTAAATCTAAAAGGGAACAAAAGTAAAGAGAGGAGAGGATAGTAAATCAAAAAAATAATGTCTGTGTTCCTAGTTTTTTAAATAAAAATCCGTGACCTGCTGAACAGTTAAAAGATACTTAGCTAAAACCATTCTTGACAGCACCGGGGAACTTTGTATACTTTATCATAAAGATGTGCTCGTCTTAGGAACTTCACTTCTGAAAAAGATCATCATACGGAATCAGAGATTAAATAAATGTAGACATGTGTGCATGTGGGTGCACACAAAGAATGCTCTTGATAGAATGAACTGTAACAGTAACTAATGGAGGGGAAAGTTAACAGACTTAAAATAGAAGAATAGTGAATAAGATTATAACAAACCCATAGAATACACAACTAAGTACTTTCAGAACAAATATATGGTTTGACTCCACTTTGATAAATCTGAAGAAACGTGAGTTTAATGTATATTCTGAAAAGTAAAATGATTAGACAAAGGTTAACATTGGTTAATCCTGGGAAGTAGAATTGCAAGGGAGTTTTGCCTTCTTCTACCGAGATACCAGGGAGCTTCAAAAGGTATATAGAAAATGGAATTAAAAGATAATGGAATTTTTTCACAAACTTTTTAAAGTCTTCTTGTATTAGGACTATGGGGGGGGGGGAGCCATAGAAACAAACTAAAATTAAATGCTTTACTTTTTTGTGACCTTATTTTGCTTCTCAAATTCATTTGCCTTTAGTGTATTACCTCCAAATGAAAAGCTATGCAAGTAAAACATGTTGCAGAATTTTCTCACACAGAATACTATTAATTGCTGTAAATTTACCTTGAAATTTATTCCAAAACAAAAATATTCAATTATTTTTAAAGTAGATTTTCTTTAATTTATTATAACAAAGCTATAAGTATGAATGTAAAGCCTTTTTCTCAGAGACGTCTTGAAGGAATGGCCTGAAGCCATAGCAAAAGAACAGCAACCAGGCAGACAGCACTCTGCTACCTACTTTCTCTCAGCTCAACTCCCTGCCAAGTGTAAATTCTCGGAACTGAAGTTATTAAAGTGTCAGATTTCTGCCAGCCTAAAGACAGGAATAAAGAGGTTCTCGAGGAACTGAGCGTTGAGTCTAGAACCAGAAGTGGAGAGTAGTCTGGAACCACAAGGCTCAGAACAAGCTGGAACAGTCTGATGGGCGGTAACTCAGGCAATCACAGAAATGAATAAAAA